CCTGGCAGCTCATGGTGCCAGGAATAAATTCAATTTTGTCAGAACATTCATGGACTGATTTTGCACCTCCTTCACTTTCCATCCATTCGTTACAGGAACTCGAACCTGTGCGCCCGACATAATCCGACGGAGTATGGGCATTACAAATAATGGTATGCAAAATATATGGCATAGAAAAGCTTGTATTTTTTTAAATACATGAAATAGATTTGGCGAAGGAGACTGGGAAGTTACGTCATTAGCTTTCACAGCGTAATTGGGTAACTATACAGAATCATCAAAGGTGGTCGCAAACGTGATTGATAGATTTCCGGGTGCGACAACTGCTAAGGTCATTTTCCGCGTACGTGTAGTGTTTGTATTGCATAAATGGGTCGGTGGACGCTTAATATGGTGTTAAAAGGGCTACAAATTTAAGAGAACCTTAGCATTAAATGTCAATCGATTTGTTATTAACTGAAGACTTCGAAGACACAAAATAATTTCTTATGAAGTTTTATATTTATTTCTGAAAAAACATTACCAACATGCAAGGACTAGCACTGCAAAAAATTCTCTTCATTGACGCTGATATCGCTTGTTTTTTATCTTGCTTCACGTAATAATACCTGTAAATAAGTGCAGTGAAATGCAGCCGTTTCTCATATCAGGAAAGTGTAATGGAAACATACGACTGAGCTGCGGAAGAATGTTCTTAAATTTAAATTTGGCAATATATAATAACTCGTCAAAATGAAAAAACTAACGCAACCTGTGATTTAATTGGCACTGCGTAATTAATTCGTTGCATTAATTTCATTTGCGTAATTACATCATCAATCTATTATGTATTATATTTCAAGGAATATATAGTGTATGACTTTACTATAAGTTGATGCACGTTGTACTGTGGAAATTCACTGATGTTTTCTCAACATAATAGGACTCTAATATTTTATGCATATCAGAAAGTGTAATTATGTAGAGTTTGTTCTGAGAACGCAACTTCCAATTGAATGTTATCAGATTGATGTTATTTCATCATGTCATATGGAATAAATTAATATGTGAAGCGCGAAAGACTCCGAAGTATAGCGATTATACACACAAGATACATCAAGGAAGAAATAATTTTGATTAATATGTTTCGAAATATCTCAACAAGATTAAAGATTTTTGTGCAGCACTTTGATGCCACTCACTACTTTATAGAATAGCAACCGCCAGAAGAAAACGCTCTGGAGTGACACGAAAAGCCAAGAAACGGTATTGCTTGCAGCATACTCTGCCATGTCTTTTAGAGAAAGATCGAGAAGAAGTCCTTCAAAAAGTGGGGCGAAGGAACGCATAAGCTTCGCCAAGAGTTATCAATGTATTTCTTTTTGCATAAAGCTTGCCGGTCGCCCTAGTTTCCTCAATTGTCTTAAACGCCAGAATCCTGGCCACCATTACCGCATTTTCAAGCTGCTGGTTCCGAAAATTCAAGAACTGTTATAAAAGAGGAAGTTTCCCAAATATAAATCACAAAATAAGGCATGAAGTCCTTATTTAATTACATAAGTGGTAAAATAAACTGGTCTAACTTTTTCTAAACTAAACTTTTCTCAACTGGTCAAAGAACTTAGACCTTGGAGTTTATCGCAATATTGTAAGAACATTGTTACCACAGAACATTATGACGGTTGCACGACAGGGCATTACTTGATGTGTTTGTCTCCCAGGCGACTTCCAACAAAGTGATGTTTTCTATAATATGATTATCAAACGTTTCATAGACGGTAATTTTGTAAAATCTAACTAGCACACAATAGCATTCGGAGTTTTATATGAAAATGAATATGTCCTATTTCATCAAATAATTTAAATTTGTATACAAGAACCAATACATCAATGCCAATAAGGACAATGCAACAATGCTACTAGTAATTAAAACTTACAGGGAGAAGCCTAGCCTCTTGATGAAAGAAATTTGGAAGCATGTGAATGAGTGTTTAAGAAATAATTATGGAGTTGGGTCTTGTATGGAGGAAAGGAAATCTATTGTGTACTATAGGCTTATGTGGATCTCCAAAATTAAGAATATTTTCTTCCAAATTATATGAAAAATAAAAACAGTGAAGACAAGTGTGAAATTGTGCCAAAAAAAGTGACTATGTACCGAATATTTCAAATATGTGCAGTGTTCTATTATTCTGTCAATTTCTATTTTTCAAAGTCCCATTAGTCTGTCAAATTTCATCTGTTAACACAGTTTTCAGTTTGGTACATTCTCAGTATTTAGAAGGGGACGTATCATTTTTTATTTAAAGAAAATAATTAATTTGAAGATTTTTGTTTCTTCTGTGATATAAATAATTGTATGTTATGCAATATACATCATGGAGTAAATAAAAAGAAAATTTATAAAGTGTACTTAAAATTATTACTACTAACACTTACTAAAAATAAGAAAGAATTCTTCACATTTTAATATTGTCTAGACAATAATTTTTGGTGTTAATTTTATCAATCTTATTTGAATTCTCAGTATATGTTTCATATTGTGCTTGTAAAGAGCCTATATTGTGGTGATACAATATGTTGGTGTTTAATTTAACTGAATATAAAGTCTGAATACTACACATGCAAAACACCATCAAATGTTCAAAATCATTTCCAAATGATTAAATTTTTAGGTGTCCTCAGTTAATGTTGACTGAACAACATAACACTCTCTCCCAATTGTTTTTTAAGTTTTTTATGAAATGATTTAAAAAATTTCTGGAAGACTTCTGAAATGATTGTGTGTTTTTCAAAAAACATTGTAAATGAATAATTTTGAATTCTTAAGTAGAAACTGACCTGAATTTCAAAGAAAACAGATTATCAGGGAAGTGATAAAGGTAATTGGTAAGCTAGTTTTATTTTAAAATGTTTCTTAAATCATAAACAGTAATAAACTGGAAGGCTGAGGGTTCTATAAGGTGTAACACCTCAATATTTTGCCAAATAGTGGCATGGGACTATCTGATACCAGTCACTTCAATTTTTGATTTAATTACAAACGTGTAATTCAAATGTTATTCAAGGAAATGTGATATTATTTGTACTATTAAAACCAATAATGTAAATAATTATCTTTCAAGAAAGTTTCTCAAGCAAAATCCAAAATAACAATACATTTCCAAAGCAAACCACAATTGAATTCACTTGCAGAACAAAAACTTCGAAATAAGTACGCGTTAGCACCGACTCTCTCGTAGGCTCCACACAGCTGTTTGCCGCATGTTGCAGGGGGAATTGAGTAAGGTTGACCTCTCTCTCTTTATCAAGCATGCCAATATCCAGCGAAAAAAAGACCTATGGACCTCGTTGTCTGTAATGCTTCCATTGCGTAGGGGAATGAAGGTTAGGTTGACTCCTACTGCGGTCCTTAACCAAAAGTCCCTAAGCCAATTAAGGAAGTATAGTGGGCGATTTACACAAGGTTGGTATGAGAGGGACGAGTTAGTTTGGCCGAATGTCCTGTAGATGTCTCTGGCAAATTCGGAGCGGCGCTGCTTCGCGATGCTCCGACATGAACACATCAGCGCTGCGATTTCGCAACAACAACTCTCTCTTCGCTCTCATCGTTTATCGCCGCTCCAACATAAACGTACCCTTAGTCGTTTGCATTCGTCCCGCAGGCTCTGACGCACGCATGCGCGCCCGCGCCCTTGACCTGCGCCCGCGTCCTCCTCCTGCGCGGGGTCACGCGTTATCACCGCTAGACGCGCTCCGCCCCCACCCCCTAACTGTCCCCGCCCGGCCCACCCCGATCCGCTGACGTCCGGCAGGCCGTGCTGCACAGAGCACTACAGATCTCTATATTCTACTGGATATGTGTAACTCGTGGAAACCGGTCCCCTCCACGTAAGGCGCCAGGTTTGCAGTAAAACTAATATGCCCAAGTGACTTGACATGTTCATTTTTTTTATTAAAAATATGGCAGTGGTATTTTAGATATAAATTATTAAATACGTTTCATTTCTGAGGGAAATATATTGAAAATATAGAATGGTCCTTTTATGATCAGAAGTGGACGACATTTTTAGGAGCTTTTTTATTAAACTAAATCTAAATATTAACGAAAATTATATTATTTTAATTATTTCCGATACAGGAAAATTGAATTATACTAATATGATATATAGATTATATATCTTTTTTAACAAATATATATCCTGCTTTCGCTTACCTTTCAAATATTATTAAACAAATGAAAACTAAATTTGAACCGGGAGAATGTCAAAATTGTCTAAATCAAACCCTTTGCATTCAATACTAGTACAAGAAAATACAGCGGTTTTGTACCAGAAACAATCGATCCAAAACCTCTTAAGTGCTATAATGATGGATAAGGAAGCAAGCTAGCATTACACATATTTAAGACGAAAACAATAGAAATTTGAAGTTTAAGATACATGGCAAACAACCCACAACACGCGTTATTCGTCAAAACATCAAATCATTTTCATAAAAGTTAAACGTAGGTTTTAAGTAAGTAGTCCAAACTCTAGTATAGACGACTTCGACCTATTGTTACTCAATATAAATCTGAGGGCATTTTATAAACAATGCTGTCCGTTTTATAAACATCATTTCCAATCATGAAAATAAACGATATCGTAACTGAATAACTAATATCATAATGACACACTTTTTTTGTAGTCGCGCAAAAATTGAATGCTCGCCCCTGGATAAGGTATTGAGTAGAATATTATATTTACAATCTTGATTACGGAAATACGACATTGGTGATATTAAAAAGGGATAAAAATATAATGCAATTTCATATATTCGCCAAAAATGCAAATACAACGGATATCTATTAGTTGATGAAATTAGCAATATCTGTTAGGTGTGAAGGTCTAAACTAAAAGACAACTACAAAATTGTCGCGATTCATATAAAGTCAATAGTCCCTAAAAAGGCAAAAGAAAATCACCTTCAGTTCTTTTTTATTGGCTAATTGGACATTTCTAATTAATGTGGTTGTGTTCTTAGTCTAAGTGTTCTTGCGGCTGCAAACAATACCATACAGATATGTTGTCTCAATATCAACATGAATTGTAGTATATGAATATCTAAGAATTTTCTTCACTTTATTGCCTTCTTCAAAATATGAAATTCACGTATAATTTGAATCGAATGGAGTATATTATAAATGAGAAGATACAACTCCAGTGAAAAGCTGAATGTCAGGTTCAAAATGTCAATGTATCCGTCTTGTCTTTTCTTCAAGGCATAGCATGCAAATTTCTTCAAAGATTTGCTTTCATAATTATATTCTTCTCTGGAAACAAACAAAAATTTTATACATGCATTCTTAGCCCCATCCCGCCGGCACGGATGGTCGAGGTGGCTAGAGCGTGTTCCGACTCAGCGCTTCGGTCGGAAGGGTCCCGGCTTCGAGCTCCGCCGTGAGCATGGTTGTTTGTCCCTTGTCTTTCAAGTATGTGTATTGTCGTGGAAGGCCTTTTGAGACGGCTGACCGCACAGACCGAGGAACCCGCATGTGTGTCTAGAGTGAAAGGTTAATATGTGTCCCATATGAGGGGGATAGTGAGAACTCATATAGAACATGGATAGCCGAAATAGGCATCTCGTGAAAGGTAGAAAAAACGGAAGAAAAAATGTCTCATCTCACCCTACTACATGGGTGTGAATATTGGTCTCCGAGTTGGAGGAATAAACAGAACTTCGAAGGAGGTAGTTTTGCTATATTTTTATCTTGTTTTGAAAGTATTTTCTTCTTTCTTGTTTATTATAACTTTCTTATAACGGACAAGCTAGACTACATGACTTTTTATTAAATAAATATACGTAATCTCTACTATTTATTCTAAGAAATATTTAAAAAAGTGTGTCTGAAACATGTTCTTTCAACTGCATATTACAGTCTGCCAGACATTTTTTTATTGTTTTTTTTTTAAGAGAAACTGGAGTCTCGAGCCTTTGAACAAAGTTCAAATGGCCTGTTTCGTCGCACTAATGATACACTTTTTCTATGAAAGATGGCGAATTGGAAGAGCTGGCCTGATGGCCTGCATCTTGACACGCCTTTGTCACGTCTTTGTCCTTGCTACACCTCGGTTCGACAAGTCCTACGCGCAGACAGGAACTTCTCGGTCGTCATGCTGCGACCTTCACCCAGGCGAAATGCCCTAGAAATACTAGAACGCGGCATGTCCTGTACAGCCAAGTAGATACTGACTCCGGCCACGGAAACCTACGGTTTCATCATTGATTTGATTGACTGATTGATTGATTGATTGATTGCCAAGAGGTACTCACTGATGCAGCAGACTGCGAGCAGGCGCACGGATGTATCTGGCGGCAGGCACTCTGGGAAGAAAGGCTTGAGCACGTACACTGAGAAGGTGAGCGCCACGATGGCCTGCGAGCACGGCCGCACGATCATGCACTCGATCCAGAGCCGGATGAAGGCCATGAAGGGACCGAACGTCTCCATGATGTACGCGTAATCGGCGCCGCTCTTCGAGATCATGCAGCCCAGCTCGGCGTAGCAGTACGCACCCACCTGCAAACGAAACGAAGCTCGATAAGGGCTCGTGTATTGGGAAATATAGATCAGGCGACTTAATCGGAGTGAATTAAGACATTCCAAAATAGTTCTCCGACGTTTTGGAATATTTTTATTTCATCCTTAGGGCTTACTACAAGATATACATATGGTTACAACCTTTCTGAAGCATAATAAAACATAACAACCACTCAAAAACAAAAACATAGCAACCCGAATACAACCACATGTGGTTACAGTCCAAGGGTCCATCCCGTCCACATTCACTTCAGATCAATGTATATATGTATGTATGTATGTATGTATGTATATATATATATATATATATATATATATATATATATATATATATATGTATATATATTCATTAACATAAATAATGACAATTAAACAAAGAGCAAACTGTATCTTTCACCAGCACTGAGGGTTGCCAGCATTTCTTTTCACTACACCCAGCTTCGACTTCACTGGACTCCGAAATATTTATTACAGTCTGATTAGCGCGTAACTACTCAGCACGTTTCGGAACGGTTTTTCCAGGGGTGGTAAGAGGTTTATGGTACACGTTCATTCAAACAATTTTTACTCGCACTTTTGCTAAAGAGTATTTTATATAAGCTCGCTGTACACATTTTAGACTAAAAGTACGACTTACCGAAAACTCAAATCAATCTAGATAACTGTCCATCTGCACTGTGTGACGGAACACGAAGTCAGTTCAACGCTGTTTCTTTTCAGCAATTTTTTTTCACGCTTCACAAGAAAACGTACATTCCAACTTTGATTTTTCAAATCCCTTAACTCACTTCAAATATAAGAGAATGTGCGTATAATATTAAATTCACAGAATTCATATGAATTGCTGCACAGCAATGCGTTCGCATTTCGCGCACTAGCGAAGAACTGTTATATTGAAAGGGGAGCTCTTTTCAGTGGAGAGATATCTCACAAATCCTTCGTTCAAAGTCACACGTACTTCTACAAACTTGTGCTAGCTGAGTGTTATATCTTCGAGACCTGCCAAGGAACTCGCTGAGATAGCCACTGCCCTGACGCAGTGGCGAATGCACTTTACATGCATTTTCTCCATACAGCGAATGTTGTTCTCTTTCCCCACCAGCCCCTACGACGCTCCAGACGCCCAGACGCGCTCTACTCGTTCACCATTCCCGAGTGACCGTCGGCTGACTCACAAAGGGCACTGGCGGCGGATCAATCGCTGCTTCCGAACGGCTCGTGTTTTGAAATACCATGGGCCGGTTGCATAAACGTTGGAAATATGAAATCCATAAGCTTATTGGTTCTATAAAGTACTCTATAGCGGCAACACGTATATCTAGAACAACCAATAAGACGTGTGGAACCTATAAGGTTTTCTATAACTTAGGTCCTCAAACAGGTCTACATGTGCTTATGGACACAATAAATAAGCAGCATGGTCGGTCTGCACACTGCTACAGCTGTTTTGTTTGTTTGAGGTTTTTGGCGGTACCTGGCGTCCGCGTGTTGTGTTTTGGTGGCTTTTACGAATTTTATTTGGTGTGTTTTGTGCGTTTTAGATGTATTTGTATGTATTGAATATCAGTGAATTCTATATTCATACTTTATATTTGCATGTTGTGATGAGAAGTGACGATTAAATTTGGTTATGAAAATATGCTAACTTTTTCTATAGTATTTTGCCTTTTTCCTTTTTTCAATTTTTCACCACGCACCAATATCAATCAACTTTCATCGAATGCTTACGTGTGACATCCAACCCCTTTTGACACACCTTTGTACATGATACAATAAAGCAAAATTGTTTCATGTACTGGTGAATAAATGAGTGCAATGAATATAAATAAACAAGAGTTTTTATCAATTCTAAAATTCAAAGATTCGAAAATGATAGTTCAGCTCACACGTAACTCCTCGTAGAATCACCAGTGAATTTAATTTGTAGTCATAATGTTGAAATTTGGTTTGTCATAAAAAATAATTTTCAGTTGTGAAACAATTTCATTCCAATAAATAGATAATAAATGAAAATTACAATATTTATTGATGAACCAATGATGAAAACGTTTCCTTGTAAGTGCTAGTATTAATATCAGTATTACAAATAAAATTTGAATAATTTAAATGATTAGCCTCTAATTAATTTTTTTTAACTCAAGACATATTTTAGGGCATTATTGCCTGCCTGTATTTGGCAAATGAAATGCCTTAACTTCTAGGCTTAGATAGCAAATAAATTTATATTTTGTATTTTAAAGAGATTTGAATAGTAGTTTAGTATTAATTATAATTAATTATTAATTGTATCAGCAAAAATTAATACTTAAATTTAAGAATGGAAGGTAAACTAATTTTTTTAAATAAAAATAAACATTGGCTAATATAAAGAATTAATTATATTTACAATACTATAAAAATTAAACAAAAAATAAACTAAAAATGAAACGAAACGAAATTGTTACTGAGAACGGATTAAGAAACAACCAAAAACGCCTCAAGTAAATGCAACACATGCTAAAAACGTGTAAAACGCTGTAAGGAATAAGTAGCGTTTAAAAATCGACGGTGTCTCTATCTATTGGTTGCATCTATAAGTTCGTATAAAATCTATAGTTATAGATTCCCTAAATTTGCTTTATGCAACGGTGCGCGGTCTATGGACCCTACAGATTGTATTGAACCCATAGCTATGGAGCACATATGGAAAGCTTTATATAACCGGCCCCATGTCACGGAAACGCTCTGAAAGTACTTATATTCCCCTCTTGTTTAAAGAAAGTTCAAGAGAAAATGCACCGAATTAATTTGGGTGTGAAAATGCAAATGTGCGAATAGGTACAAGCCGCCACTGAATGGTCCGTATACTGTTTTAAAAAATACCGGATAGCTATTTGTTTCTCCTGAAAGTATTGCGAAATATCAAAACACACACGTCTACTAATTGGATGTAGTATTTTACTTCATATTTTTATTATAATCGTAATTTTATTATCGACAGTAGTCGTGTATTCGGGATATAACTTTTTCTTTTCTGTTGCGGTGTGAAGGAAAAACACTGTCGTAGCCCAAAATTTTGTTTTTGATAAAGGGGTACCTAAAAACGTACATGTCCAAACATTTAAAATTCTATAACTTAGGTAATTTAAAGATAAAATGGCAAAGAATAACTCATTTTTAAATTCGTAGCTCTGCCTTACCGCTCTCTGACAGTGGTCAACCCGCAGCGATCAGTGCGATAACACTCAGTGCCAGTGTCGTTCGTTCGCTGTGAGTCGGTTAGGCGAACAGTTGCCAGCGTTCAAAACAATAGACGTGTGTCGATATATAGTTTGCTAGTAAAAGCCAACAAATCTTTTTTTTTCAATACCACGTTGGAATGGCCACAAATAGTTGCTCCGTGACGGGCAACTATGCGAAGCGCAATGTCGGCTGATCTATAGTGAAAATGGTGGTGTGCAAAACCGCGCTCATCACCCCGTGAAACCGGTCTTCTTCTTCATAATCCTTATTTATACTCTCAACAGCAAGAACTTCTCCAGCAACAACTACAACACCTCCAACATCAGCAAAACAAATGCGTGGAAATGCAACTCTTCTCAACGGTCTTAACTCAATATCAATGCCTCCACAACCGCATCTGCAACAGCAACCACAACGACACACGTGCCACAACAACCGCAGCTCCAAGGTACGCAGGGAACATGGTAAGTGAGCGATTAACGAAAAGGTCACGCTTCGCCAGAAGAGGATTATTCCAGATACTGAATTATTCCTGTTTCCAAATAGCGTATTAAGCTCTTAGGACATTAGAAAACTAATGAAGACCTGAAAACGCACTCCAATTATTAAATTCCCCCCAATTATAGATGCACGATGCAAGTAAACTTTCAACTTTTGTTAAATTGATATTAAAAAGAAACTTAAGGATCGAACTTCACAATAAATCAAGAAAAAGATGCTGATTAAAATGTTCATTACTTCATTAGATTATAAAAGTTTTAGAAAATTCTGTGAAACAGGAAAAAATTGAGTTCCATTCTTATAAAAGACCCTTCTATAAAAACGTTAGCCGTTTTGTAATGAAGGACATTCCCACTACCTACTCGGAAAAGTGAAATACTACAGGAACGTGACAAGATTAACCAAATTCCCCAGCAATTAAAGTAGCAAGACTTTATTAATACATTGAACAAGTTCCCCATACCTATATGTGCAACTCGACTAGAAAATACTTTATCAATAGTAAAGAAATATTTCAACTTAACCGCCTTTTGTTACAGTGTTATCAGAATTCAAGAACAAAGTGAAATCAAGTTTCTCCCAATGGTAATCCAATGAGTAAACGTTGTCAGAGACTTTGCGGCATTCCAAGGCAAATTGTGGCCTTCAAAAGGCCCTCCCCCGGCTTTCTTGATGTCAAATGACTGGCCAGCATCACCGTACTCCGAGTTGTACCAAATTAAATCTGCCCCCCTAAGTGCGTAATGATTGTCTGGTGACGACATACTAGGTAACTATAAGGCCTGCAGCATTATACAAAAACAGGCAGCAAGATCAATGAAAATAATCAAAAAACCAGTACAACCACACCTTCTAACGTGTCCCATCAAACCATTATTCATCCTTAACAACTGCATCCGCTAGACAAGTAGCCATCACATCCTACCCTTCATCCTAATCCATATCATAATAACCAATCGAGGTCACATTCATTCATATTCAAACAGGATTCCAATCTAACTAATCTCAAAACCATTCGTATCACAAGTCATGTTAGCGCTCACTCCCATATTGAAAATACAGTAAAAATCTGTTCTGACAAATTTTGAATTATGCAAATAATATAAAAACTAATATTAAACTTTTTAAACTGGAAACGACCACACGGACTGAAACGCCAAGAAAATGGAAATTTAGATATTTTTTAAAGAAAAAATGAAATTGAAATAGCTTGTGTAACCGAACCCAATCTAATTTCCGGGAGAAGAAGCTTTCAA